TCTGCTTGGAGACCAATTTGGGACTCCTGTTTGGTAACTACTTCAGCGTGTGCTGTAATGTTACACTGCAGGGAAAAGCAATGGTTGGATGTTATTTGGTCACTGCTGGTAAGCACCCCTGCACAAAATTTGCCACCTTGGCAGAGTGGAATTCCCAGAATTCAAGCAGCCAGCTGCAAGTGAGCATCGCTCCCTCATGAACAGCCCATGAAGTCTGGCACCGCTGCCTGACGGAGCCCTCCTGAGCTGCTACTGAGCTGTCTCCTGAGCTGCTACTTTTGCTATGTAGGTGGGGAGGACAGCCAGGACCTGGGTTTTTTCTGCATCAACAAGGAACAGTCCTGTGCATGCTATGCAGCATTTCAGAGGGATGTTTGTATCACTGAAAACTATAGCATCCCCTTACATTTACACGCCAAAAAGGCATTGGGATAAGAGGGAGTACTTACGAGCTTTCAGGCAAAGGTACAGCAAGATTCAGTTTTAAGTTAGACAATGTGAAATTCAAAATAAAACACTGCGGGAAAGTTTAAAATGTCACAGCTTCTCTGGAGTGAAGCTGAATTCTCCCTTGCTGCCAGCCAAAAGCACTGGCTATGCTTTATTGCAGAGCAGTTGGCCAGCGTAAGTACCTGTTGGATCATGACTCAGGTGACCGGGATTTGCAAGTATGCTTTCACTGTAAGGATAAGAACTTGTTCTGCAATTCCCTAGTTTAAACACTTTTCCTTTCCTGACTGACTCGGAGTTGTTCTGGAGTATTTATGAATGGCAGAAACCTTTTAGACAACTCCATGTTGATACAGAAAAGCCTTTTTGCAACAGCTGAGGGAATATTGTACTTCCTTGACCACACAAAAATGTAGTCAGAGGTTACGTGAACAGAGCATCAGCACAGGTGTGCTCGAGCAGCAGGACCTTGACCTATATTGCTGACTGTGAAGGCCAAGTAGCCAGTAGATAAACCCATTTGACCACAGATAACAGCCCTTCTGGTGAGTTTTGCTGCACTTGCTTATTAACTGAGACCCATTAAGGTGAATTAGCCAGATTCACGTGTCATACAAATGCCATCATGATAAAGCTCAAGGCCTCAGATAAATTCAAATCCCTTGATTTTAAATAGAAATCACTGTATTTTTTTTTATTATGTGAAATCCCCAACCCTAACGTCACTTGAGGAGGTTTTTTTTTAAGCCCTACAGTAATTGATGCAACTATTGACTCATTGCTGGTTTGGGTTTTGACACAAGAGGACTGTGCTGGCCAGACCAGCAACCCGCCAGACTATGACTTCTTTGTTTCTTTGGTAACAAACGACCTGAACAAATTGAATTTATAGCTGCATCCTTCTGTTAATTTAATAATTTATCATATTCTAATTTTGTACTCAAAACTAACTTTATATTCCTAGGTGAAATAGTTTTTGTTTTTTTTTTTTTCCCCTAAGGAGACAATGTGTTTCTCTTTAGCAGTTTTATACATTGATAAGAAGTCTCCAAGTTGTTTTAAACAGATGATGTAGTAATTCCCTGATCACTTTAGAAAAAGCAGACAGACATATATCTCACTATGTTGAAAGAGTTAGCGCGTGTGGTATAATTTGCATACTATAGTTAACTCATACCCAAACTGCTTTTTGACAATAAGTATCAAAGAGTATACGTTAGACAAACAGAAGTGTTTCCTGCATTTTATGGAAAACAAACAGCTGAAAAAGAGGAGGAAACAAATACAGTTCTGGCAATATACTATGATTTACTGCTCTGTTGTGTGTGGATCTATGTAAGGCATGCTGGATGCTCACGCGTAGTGAGAAATAAACAAGCCGTTACACACCGACAGATCACTAACCCAGGAGTAAGCTGTGAGTTACTGCTTCTTACATGTACCTTGGGTATGAATTTATCCTTGATTGCACACACATGGAACATAGTTTGCTGGATTAATACCCTCTTAGGTGCATACCCACTCCCCAGCAACCGATTTTTTCATACCTTTACTTATTTAGCAGCGGGAGACGGACAGAGACAGCCAGGCACAATGGCATTCCAAAGGGCAACATCTTCGGATGCAAGGACAGAGCCAAGGGCAGAGTGCTGGAAAATGTAAGATAGCCAAGTACAGCAGTGACGGCATTGAAAACATGATGGTAATACACTTGACAGGAGGTGGCAATATCATCTGTATCACACATAATGCTTTCACTCTACCATTAACATCTTTAAAAATTAATTACAAAAATTCTTTACATTATTCAGACAACTTCTCTTTTGCTATCAGGGAACAGGGTGTGCTGTTAGTTTTCTCTCTGTCATGTGGAGCCTACTGCCCTTTTGTGTTTTTCTCTGTGAAGTTTTTTTGTGATGATATCCAATTGCCTTACACCTTGCAGATCATTGCTCTGCCCTTATCCTTTAGCAGAGTGGCAAGAGTTTTTCAGATTCCTGTTACACGTCTCCCACTGACCATCTGCTATTACCACCTTAACGAGAAATCACTTGTTGAAAGGTGATTAAGTGGTTACAGTCCAGCACAAGGTTGCAAGCTCATTATACTACTTCCACCTCCAATATTAAGCAATAGCGATAAGCATTCGGCCCGAGTCTTAGCTGATATGAATCAGTGCATTTCTACTATTTCAGTAGGGTTACCTTGGTTTACATGACATTTAGCTTAAAAGCATTTACCGTTAGGTTAATTTAGATTCCAGCCTTTGGTTAAAGTGGGTTTCTGTGTGCCACCCTTTTCACACAGAAACTCAGGATAATCAAGGAAGATTCTTTTCTATTCTTTAGTATTCTTTTAGTTGTCAGGGATGGGATGTTTTAAAGATAATTATTGAATGCAGCTGGGGTTTTTTGATAGCACTCATGATGTAAGAAGTGGGTTTGTGTTTCCCCTCGGAGCACTGAGGTTTACTGTAAAGCTACTCCGGGCTCTGGATTTATGTACCATTTGCAGAGAAAGATCTATCCACTTAAACCTTCCAGTTTAGGTTTTGCTGAGTCAGTTTTATATATCAGGGTGTTTAAAAAAGAAAGGAAAGCAAGAAAAAAAAAAAAGTAAGCTTCAAATACACTGGAGCTGGAGGTAGTTCACAGCTTCTTAAACAGTTTTTGTTAAAGCAAACCCCTACATTTCTCTTCCCACATCAGGTCTCCACTGTGATCTGTTTCCACTAAACCAGAAGCAGTCTTTGCAGCCATCCTGTTAGGGCTGGGGATTTCAAGACAATCTCCCAAATAAGCGTCGCAGAACAAAACAGACCGAGATAAGCTGTTACAGCACATTTATAAACAAGAAAAAGCCAAACCAAACTGCCTCTTATCATAGAGACATATGGAAGGAGTACAAAACTGCTGTGAAAAAAAGCCTGGCAGTGTGATTCAGGACATATCACTTGGGGGGAATGATAGCCCGGCTGTACTTAGGTTTGGAAAAAAATGTTCTGAAAGGTTCTCTTGCTGCCACATACTCTATTTTAGTTCTGGGGCTCATCCTCTAATGTCATATATATTCTGAGTAGTAAAGGAACCACCTGATGTCCAGCTTCATTTCAGGGAAAGGGAGGGCATAGGTATGATGGGCACTAGAAGACAAGTTGGGATGTGCTCAGATTACTGGGAGATAGTTCAGAGGAGAGACACCTTGAAAGGTCAGTGTCAGGAACGCAGCATGCTAATGATGCTAATGATATAAACAACACCCAAGATAGTTAGGTCTTGATTTGGTGAAGCAGTTATGTACATGTCGTACTTGAAGCACCTGAGCAGTTGTACTCATTTCAGCCAGGTGACCTGGGTGCCTACAGCCAGGCTTATTCCTCACCAGACAGGAGCTCCAAGCATCAGAGAATGACAGAACTGATTTTTCTTGGCATTCATCCACACTCTTTAAATGCAAAGATTAGTGCATCTTCCTTTTATAAAATTGCCTTCTGCTGGTGTTCATATTCTCTTGCTTCCAGGCTACTCTGATTCATGGCACAAGAAAAGCTTGCCCCTTTATTTTTTCCAAAGGACTCAATAACCCCTTTTCCCCAAAACACACACATCCTCTGTATATATCCTCCTGTATCCCATCTTATCTCCAAAAATGAACAAATCATTTCTGTGCCCCTATTCTGTCATATCCAAAAGGAAAATATTGCCTGAGAAAACAGTATTCATTTTTTTTTTTTAGCATAATAGGACATAATTTATTATTCTGCTTATGACCACTGACAAAGTCCCAGAAAAATGCAAAGCTTGCTGTTTTGAGATCTTACACTGATTGTAACTTATCATGTCATAGGCCCTTTTAGCACCAGAGACATCATTCTGGTTTAGTAATCCCTTCAGAGAATTCCTTCCAACAAATATAGAAGACTACCATCATGATGAGAAAAATCCTTTCCCCTAAAACTGTTTATCATCCAAGAATAAATAGCAATGAAAAAAATGGCTTTCTGAGACTTAAGGGGACATAATCCGTTTATCAGGAAGATATTACTACAAGTATTGTACATAAGCCACTTACCCTTGCCAGTGTCTCACAGTCATCTGAATGTCAGTTTAAAAAAAATTAAAAAAAGAAGATGAAGTTATAATGCTATATCAACAGACAGCTGTCCTAGTGGGCACTGGGAACACAGAATGACTCGCATTGCTGAGCCATGCAGTCATTGCCAAAGGAATGATGAGCTCACATTTCATTCCGATTCACATACTCGGTGTGGTTAGACTGTGAGGCTCACTCTCCCTCGCCCAACTGACGCCCCCCTCCCTGCCTTGACACCAGATCTGGCTCGTTAACATGTCTGGAATGAGCGCAAGCCTACCTCTCAGCTGGCAAGCCCAAGGGGCATACTTGGATTCCCAGGTTGGAAGATTATCTCATTCAAGCACAGTTCTCCTAAAGATATATAAGCAAAGCTAGCGTGGTGGTCCATGCAGAGCTGGCTTGAGCACTTGGGAGTTTCAGTCATACAGGAGTACAACCTTCAAACGCTGGCAAAGATGATGATGATGAAAGTAGAAGAGCTGGTAGGTGCAACCTTCTTTCATTTATTCATAATTACTTTTCTTTCTAGACTGTCATTATACCAGGCAGAGAGACACAGCCTTTGTGGATCACTGAGGTGATTTGGCAGGTTACCAGCACTACTGTGCTCTTAGTGCAAAACCTGTATGTACTGTATATTATCCTGTTATATTCTCACTTTAACTTTTCTTTGGGAAGGGGACTCACCACCGATATAACTACATAGCTGTTTGGATTTTGCATCAGAACACAGTTCACCAGGAAGAAGAGACTGACCAGAATTTAGCTGTATATTTTCCTTTGACCTTGATTTTCATTTTTATTTTTTTTAGAAGCTATTAAGTTTGTGATCACACTGAGTAATTCCAATCCCGTAAGGGACTGGGAGGAGGTATCAGTGCAGGGACAACATTGTATTAGAAAATACTAAACTAACAGTTTAGTAATAGTATTACTTTCTAATACTAAACTAACAGTTCTTACTGTTCGTGGTGTAACAAGCCTTTGAAAAATAATGCCTAAACCAGACCACAAGTAATGGGACATTCCACTGCAAGGTTCAGACTAATAATATCTGATTTGATCAATAAACTGGGAAAACAACAATGATCCAGTAAAACACTGGAACATTATAGAAAAATTATTTTTTTTATCCCAGATGGCTATCTTAAGATGCAACTGCCATACAGCCTAACTAGTTAATGCTGTCTTAAATTCTTTGGCAAGGCCCTGACAGTTTCTCTAGTGTTAAACTCTATAACACACACACAATTTTAGAAGGTGATTGAATGGAAAGGCAGTCTAGGACATATGAATTTACTGAACCACTCTCAAAATACACAACAGCCTCTACTAAGTTTAACAAGTTGTCTCTTTGTACACACTTAATTGGTCATCAGAAGTATTTCCAAAAGCTATTGAAAGCTGTGCTGCTGCACGGCATGATGTAGCTTCTGCGCAGGAACTACCTTCTGCTGTTTTGCTAAGTGCTATAAATGGGGACTCTGGTACTGACAGCAATGGGTAAAACCAGCCTTGAAATTACTCAGCAACCCGATTTAACTGCATTGGATGTGTTTCAATAAAACTGTAAGGTCCCAAGGGAGAAAGCCTCTCCTCCCACTCTACCTGCTCAGTTCCCCTGCTCAACACTCACAGGGTGCTGGTGGCTGGTTGGGGTGGCTCTTTTCACCACAGCCTTTTACAGCCTTCTGAAGGCTCTGAGACATGCTGGCAGTGAACAAACAACAAACCCACAAACAAAAAAGATGCTCTTCCCAACTCACTGGCTTTTGTCAGTACAGCAGCACCCCGGCCCCAGCCAAGCAGGGAGTTAGACTGCGAGTTGGCCTCATTGGTCTTGACCCAAGCTCTGAAGATGCCAAGAAGGGGTTGCTGTGTGGATGCGGGAGATCTGCCTGCAAGCGGGATTGCTCTAGCCATTCACACACACAGTTAATCCAGGCACAGGCTGAATGAGGTCTGCACTCTGTCTGTCACACACTCCTAGAGCAGGACAGGGTGACATGCAATTAGCCTCTAGGTAATCCATGTTCCCAGGGGGTGGCTACTGCAGTCATGAAACTGCTGCTTATATTATACCACATTTGCTTTTACAGGTGACTGGGAAGAAAGCTGACGATAAAGAGACTGGCAGCTTCCTCCCTGAGGACTTCAAAAATGGAGAGTATGAAGCTGCTGTAAGATTAGAGAAGCAGGAGGACCTAAAGACAATCGCTGAACACTCGCTGACCCGAGGTGATCTGGCTTATGAGAAGGAGAAAAAACGAGAAGCAGAGGTAAGCTCTTGGGTTTTGTGCTTGGCTTTTTATCATCCTGTGTGCACTTCTGCTGCAGCCCTTGAAGTTTTGCCTCTCTCTAAGTTAGAAATACGTGCATAGTGAGCTAGATAAACCCTTGGGACATAGATCGCTACCGATGGAGGTTGGTCTAAAGTCCATTGAAGGCCATGGAGATCTGCTGACTCCTGTAGCCTATGGATGCAGGCAGTAACACCGTGAAGCAGAACCCCAAACTCCCCCTACAATGTCTGACTGAAACCCTGGGGGCTCCCTCCCTACGGGCTGCTGGCTGTCCGTAAGGGGGGAACAAACATAGCCAGCAAGGCACCTTCAGCTTGCACACCTAATGGCTGCCACCAAAAATAACTAACCCAAGAAAGAGGCAAGAGTGCATTTCTGAAGCCAGAAGCCTTATCTACCATGAAAATATTCTTTTATGAAAACACTGTGTTATGCTTACTAGCACATTTGGGAAAAAACAGTTACAAATGAAAGTGATACTGGTCTACAGAAAAGTACCATTTTGTATTCCTGGAGCATGACAATTCTCCCTATATCCCTAAGAACTGATGCATCCCCCTCCCCCCTCTCCCTGAATACAGTAGCTGTAACATATTAAATTCTTTGGTGAATAAGCAACCAACTGGCCTAAAAATGTAAAATAATTTGGGAATGGAAAAGTTTAAGTAGCAGGGGGCATAAGACTGTTCTGAAAAAACAAGGGTGGGGAAGTGAACCTCAGAAATATTAAAATAAACACTATTGACCTTCACCTTCGACAGGGAGATCTTTACTTGCTACAGAGGTTTTTGAGTTCCTCTGCCCAAAACCACGACAAGGTCTTAAGAACTTTTTGGATTTCTAGTTGATCCACAGCCCACTCAGCCAACATAATTGTTTTCCATTAAGTCAATGATCTACAGATCAAACCTTAAATGCAGAGAACAATAAAAAGAAGAGGTGGAAATAACTAGAGTAAGAATTCAGATGAAAAAAATATATACCATATGAAAGGGTCTCACCAATATATTTACCCTTAATGATACCATGGGACAGAACCTATCACCTGTATTCAGCCTGAGTTACCCCTTGTTTGTGAATCCCCCTTCTGAAGTCAAGGACACCTCATGGTACCTGAGATCTTGGCCCTCAGATCAGGCAACACATTTGCCCTTGATGTTAGCAGTGCCCCATACTGACTTCATGCAGGGATTCTTTTTACGAACAAGCTGGAAGAAGCCTTAAACATTTATTGAACTGCCCTTCCAAGGATACTGGGGACATTCTTTGTAGTTTACCAAAATGTAACATTTACTGACTGAAATGCTAAAATTGGTATAAACCTTGCTTTTCACTTAAGGGTATATTTTTCATCAAAGAGGATTAAGTTACAATAAATCAGGGGCTGCATTATGAAAGTGGTTGAAGGCAAAACACGTGGTGGAAGTCAGTTAAAACTGCGGGGGCTTCCCACCCCTCATAAGCTGCACACGTGGTTTCTTAAGTTGTTGGGCCAGAAGGAAAGACAGTGCTGCTCTGACTCCTGGCCCAACACAGACCAAAAATTTATGCTATCTATCCCACAACATATGGCTGAAGCAGCATTTAGGAAGAGGTCCAATGGTGTATGAAAAACTATAAATGATATAGAATTTCTCACACACTTAGTAACTTATTCTGATGGCCAATTAGCTGTAGCTGTAAAAAAAAAGACAACTTATTTCAAAGTTCATCCAGTCTTAACTGAATTCAGTTGAATAGTAGTACACGCTGTCCTGCCACTCTGAAAGGGAGAGGTGGTCACACTCAGCTCAACTTATGGGCTTCCCTGATTTGTTTCAGCTGAAGAAGAAGAAATTAGAGGAGAGGTCAAAACTTGAAAACTTGGAGGATCTTGAAAAAATTATTCAGCTGAAGAAGAAGAAAAAATGCAAGAAAGTAAAAGCTCCTGTTTTAAAGGAACCCGAACCAGAAGTTATTGTAAGTTATTTCAAAGCACCTACTTCTGGGAAAGCAGCGATGAGGTTTTGTGCCACATGCATTTACGCCCTGTATATTTCTTTCCTTCAGACAGGACCAGTGGATATACCCACATTCTTTAGAGCTGCATTGGAGAATAAGTTGCCAGTAATTGAAAAATACCTGTCAGACAAAGGGGATCCAAATGTCTGCGATGAGGTACAATCTTCCTTTTTACTGCAAGGCCTGCTATAGAAGAGAGATTATTACAGAGCAAAAGCAACTTTTACCAATAGATTTTGTAGCTTCCACACTTTCGAGGAGAAAAAAGGGTGGGGGGAAGTAAGTAAATGCTGGAAGTTTGGTATATCGAGTTTTCTAGTGATAACGGGGCTATTGGGATGCTTTGAAGTAATATTACCTCAAAAGAATCTTTATATTTAAAAGAAAGCTGTTGGTGCCCAGGAGACCCTGATTGTCTGTAGCAGGTGGTCTTCCAACACTACAGATGAACAGGCAAGAAATTTGTCTGCAGAATGACAAAGTGATGCTGCCTGCCCTCCTGCTCCATAATGTATAAGCTGCATTTGCAAAACGCAGTGTAGCATGCTGGATGGGGGAACTCAACAGGCATCAGTTTAAATTTGAATGCCATACTGCAGATATTTCTCACACCCTTTAAAATGCTGGGTAGGCAGCTCTTAGCTATCAGGATGCTATTAAAATTTTGCAGATTTCAGGTCTCAAAAGTATTAGCTCTTGAAAATGAATCAGCATAAAGTATGTATTTGCCATTATCCTAGGGAGGCGGTGAGAAAAGATTTAAAGATATCTCTTTGTGCCATATTTAATATCTGACTTTGCACTGTTTTAATTGCCAGTACAAACGCACCGCATTGCACAGGGCATGCTCTGAAGGACATCTAGAGGTGGTGAAAAAGTTGGTGGAAGCTGGAGCCCGGCTTGAACAGAAAGACATGGTATGCACATCAACTTACACTTCCTTCAGCTGCTCGTTTTATAAGTGCAGAAGTGCTTCTTATAGAAGAGGAGCATTAAAAGGCCTTACAGTGTCTTGTAAGTTTATCCTTAAAATAACACTGTTGAGAAGAGGATCAGGAGGGGGTGTCTCCCTCCCTTTGCCAAAGTGGTTGCTGGAAAACACAGGAAGCGGAGGAACACGTTGGCCGGTAGACTGCCACAAACAGCAAAGCCTAACGTAGGGTAAGAGAGCTGAGGTCAGGCTACCACTTCAGCCCGCTAGCAGGTGGTGGAGATACCACCGTCCCACGCACGTATCCAGGGCTCAGGGCAACGCGTACATTCTCCACCAGGATTTCAAGGCTGCGCTTGGGAGAGACCCCTGCTCCTCCGGAACGCTGGCCAGGAGGGCAGCTGAGTATCAATGGCTTCTGCAGCTGTTTTTTTGCTTCTCCGCTCCCGGCTCTTTGCCCCTTTGCTAAACAGCTGGAACCAGCCAGCCTTGCTCCCCCTTGCTTAACCCAGCAGTGCTCGTGGAGAGTGTAAGAGACAGGAGGAACAACAGGCAGGGCCAGACTTTCAAGGGACGTTCCACCCCTCCTGGCAGAGCGGAGTGCAGAGAAACTGAATCTTGTAGGGCAGAAGGGTTCCAATTCACTTTGTGGACCTGCAGAAGTTTGGGCTTTTTTTTAAAAAGAGAACTATTCTTTCCCTTGAGCTTCATTTTCTATGCATTTTAGAACCCAAAAGGCATCAAATAAAAATATACTAACTAGCGCATACCAGCCAGAAAAATCATACCTGGCTGTCTAAAGATGACTTCTAAGTTCACCAAATGCACAAAACATCCTCTCTCACAGCAGCGTTGCCAAGATCTCTGTCTTTAAGAGCAATATGCAGCAAGTGTGAAGAGTGAGAAACTTGCAGTACTAAAGAAATTAGGGCAAAATAAGAAAAGCTGTTACTAGAAACAACTCGGTGATCATGGTGAAGTGCTTTAGGTTAAATTGCATGAAAAATATTTTGGATTAATTTAGAAATTTGATCACAAAATTTTTTTTTTTTAAATATGATGATGAATTAAATTACTTTCCATTCTTTTTTCCTGCTGTAGCTTGAATCTACAGCCCTGCACTGGGCGTGCCGGGGTGGGAACCTGGATGTTCTGAAATTCTTACTGGACAAAGGGATAAACAGAAATGCAAGAGACAAGGTATGTGCTGCTGGGACTCCACAGCTTTTTAAATTGGAGGTGAAAAGCTGACCCTTACTCCAAGTACATCATTTTTGGCGGCCGTTCTTGAAGCGGTCTTTACCTGTTGCATGCCACTGACTGCTTTCTCCTCCCACCTCTCAGCTGCTCAGCACCCCTTTGCACGTGGCTGTGAGAACCGGTCAGTACGACTGCGGGGAGCACCTCATCGCCTGTGAAGCAGATCTCAATGCCAGAGACAGAGTAAGCACCAACAGCTTCTTACCTGTCAGCTATCAGGTAGCATCAAGCTGCTGTCTGCCTCGATAGTTCCGCTTGCCTGTAAAAATCCCTGGCTACGTGGTTGGGGCTGGACCACAGCGCTGGACCGGCAGGACTGACACTGTGGTCCATGTCTCCTGCCTCTCTAGGAAGGAGACAAGGAAGGAGACACACCGATGCATGATGCTGTGAGGCTGAACCGCTACAAAATGGTCAGGCTTCTGATTCTGTATGGAGCGGATCTAACTATAAAGAACTGTGTAAGTAATAGCAAAAAATGCAGTAATTCAAAATGCTTTAAAATAAGTTTGCCTTCAGAGCAGTTTCACAGGTTTCAAGGCCAGAAGAGACTATTGTGAACAGACTTAATTAGATCACTTCAGAGTTAATTAAAGCAGTGCTGACACAAGGAAAGTATAACTTGGGGGAGATCAGGGAGAAGAGGAAAAACCAGTACCTCTTCTAAAACCAGAACCCATCAGCTGCACCTTAAAACAACATCACATCTTTCTGTGATTTATTTTAATTACACATATCATATATTGAAAAGATATAATGTACAGACACTTGCTCTCTGCACAACTCCTGGGCTTCAACTACCGTTGAGGCAACAAAGATCTTAGCTTGTCAGAGAAATCTCCTTTCTGTTAAGCCCACAGCCGATGGCGAGCCCAAGAACTACATCTGGATAACTGGCTGTTAACCTGACCATTGGGCAACAAACCCTTGTGGCTCAGCAGAGCTTCTGTTTAAGAAGCCCCACACCTGACTTTGCTCATAGCCACCGCAGCACCAGCAGATGCATTGCCAGAGCTCTGCGACCACTTGTTAAAACAGCACATCACAGCCCCCTTTCCCCCAAACCAAGCAGCAGTGGGATGAACAGTGAGTTTTACCAATGCTAGTCAATGTTTTTGATTGGCAATCAACCAAAACTTAAGGGGGCAAGGAAGAATCCAGTCACTGCAGCACTTTGCACTCCCTCCTCTCTGCCCACGCTCTCCAAAGCAGGCCCGCTCCGGGCATTATTCCTCATCAGGGTACGAAAACGATGAAAGGCACAGCCCCAAAGGCCAAAGACTTGCTCTCTCGGGCTTTGTCTGCACACAAAAGTTGCTCCTGTTTAATTTAGATGTGGTTCATAACCTAATTAAACCAGTACAAACTCTTATCTGAATTCTCCATTAAATAGAAGAGTGGCTTATTGAGGTTTCATCTAAATGTATTTCTAATCAGTTTAAACTAGATCAAAAGAAACACCTGCATGCTCTGCTAGTCACGGTATTTGCTAACATGGCTTAGACCCACTGAAACACAGGGAGATTTCATCGCAAGTCTGAACAGGGCTGGGACTAGATCTGTAGAGCAAAAGGACTCAGACCTCAGGGAGGCGAGAGTTCGTCTGGCCTCGTGTGTGCAGAGGGGTCTCACATCAGGCAGACACACCGCACAGATATTCAGGGAAGAAAGAAGGACTCGGCCATCACTGGCTGAAATTAAATCTTGTTTCCTCTGCTTTTTTTAACCAGCAAGGAAAAACCCCTATGGATCTTGTTCTTCAGTGGCAGAATGGCACCAAAGAGATATTCAACAGCCTGAAAGACAATTCCTATAAGAGCGTCCATCTAGGCAAGTTGTGACGAGAGAAACCAGACCGCTCTCTTTTTGCTGCTTTTAAATGCTTCATATAAACCTGGAGGAAAATAGCCACGAACATAGTATTTTTATTGAAAATATTTATGGTACTGGATTGTTTGAGGTACCTTCACTGAAAACTGCAAAACAAACATGCGAAGAAATTATTTTAAAAGGCAGGTTGAGTGTTAAAATTCCACTGGTTCTAAAATGGCTTTATTTATTACTATTTATTATTTATTTATTTAAAAAGTAATTTTTAATGATTCTCAATATTATTGTAGCTTTTTTTTTTTTATAGAGCTTTACATCCTAATGCAATCTTTGCTAGCAACATAAATCCGTTTGTCTTAAATGGTAGTATTTCCAACCACATCAGCAACTTCCCTCAAGCCTTCCAGTAGCTCTAAATAGCAAATACTTGCAACTGTTGCTTTGTCTCTGCCAAATTCGCACTATTAAAACAATATGTTAAATGAGCGGTGATATGTGGAAGACCAATGGAAGAAGGTGTACTGAGGTGCCAAGTGGATTTAAAGAAGCAGTTGAGTAGTGGGGTTTACACAGGGTTTGGCAATTGTGGTCAATAAAGAACTCAAGGACAGAGCTCCAACCATCACGTAACTGTTTGGACTGTGGGATGCAGGTGCAATGTTATGAAGGTGAGAGGAGACGGTATCAGGAATGTGAATTTTTTTAAGCTAGACTACTATGAAGTCTGATGATTGAAGAATGCGAAAAGAGATTCTGTATATTTGTAAATTTGTACTGCTTTTTCTGTACATTTTGTACTGATCTATTTCAGATTAAACAAACAGAGTGGTTCTTTTTATTTGCTGGAGTGGACTATGGAGTGGTGAGCATGCACAGGGTAATTCTGTCTCTCTTTAAAGCAAGTTCACATCTTGGCCTCTGTAAAATTCTTAAAACTCAAAAAAAGTCTCAGCTGCCTAGAGCAGCTAGCCCTTGAGCTACCTCCCTGCCACTGTTAGATAAACGCCGTCTCTTACTTATTTTGTTAAATGGAAACACATATACAAAAGCAGAAAGACAGTACTTGAGTAGCTAGTAAAACAAAGTTACGGTGTTATTACTGAATTTGATTTAGAATCTCAGTTTCCCAGCAAGTTAGTACTTCCTATGTGAAGCACATGAGCCAGCTTCAGTTGTCCAAGCCAAGGAAGACACTGAGTCTTGCCAGGAAAGGCAGGCGTCTCACCCTTTGCTTTTGCAGAAGCAGAACAATCTTACCAGTACCACCAGCAGGGACATCAATGTCCAATTCCATTGGGACATTACATGCTGCATTCAGTTAAAATCCTAATGCCCCAGGGTGCGCCCTCCCAGAAAAACACACCACAGGCTCCCACACACCTTCACCAACCCATGTCAGTTGGCTTCTAGCCAGCAGGATTTACAATCTGGCCAAAAGAACGTCCTGGGCAATGAGGTGGGGTCAGGCGTGGAGTGCCAGTTTTGGAGACAAAGTGAATTTACAGAAACCCCAGAGGAGCAAGCAGAAGAAATGTCTATTCTGTCTGCAGCCAGCTTCCCTAGACCAAGGCCAACAGCTTTAGACAGATGAGACTTTTCTCACACAAGCACCATAACTTGCGAGTGTCACCTTGCCAGCAGTAGGGTTTACTTGTGAACACATTCTTCTCCATAAAAATTACGGCACACCTCCGCTCGCTGCCCTTCTCTGCAAGCCGCTACTTCACTACTTGTTTCTGCACAATTACCCGGAGACTGGGAGCATGCCTTGCAGGAAATAGAAATGACATCAGTGCTGGCTAACTCCGTCTGTTTGTCATCCTAACCCAGCAGCAGCTCACTTGTTCAGACACCAAAGTGGCCAGAACGACAGGCTTCAGGAAACTGAGGGAGAAGAAACTTTTCAATCAGTTCCTGAAGCACTCTGTCTACTTAAAGGGCAAAGATGCAGACTGTAAATTTCTTTAAATCAAGTCAAACAAGTAGCAAGGATCTCTAGCATTCAAAAGCCTTTTTCCATAGGCTAGTTACAAAACAATCCCTCTCATGCTCAGTTTATTCTCTGGCCAAGGCAAGATAACATGTCTTTCTAAAAATTGCACCAGACAAACACATTTCTGCTTCTTCTCTGGTTAGAGCATCATTTTGGAGGTAAGTCCATAAATGGTAAACTACTGAGTATATGATGTATTACATCCCAATGCCTATAATAAAACAGACTCAAATCACAAAGTCAACAAGTAAAATAACAACATAAAGGAAAAATATTTCGTTATTTGTTGAATAAAGCAAAAGCTGCTGTGACTGACACCAGCATTATATAGAACTATCTACTGAGAACTTCATCCATTCTGCTCAGTCCAGTTCCTAAGAGCTCAGAGATGACCCATGCAAGATTTCTGCAATACTTTATGTGCTATAACTTCCGCTTCTCAACTTGTTGTCAGATGCAAATAGGGAACTGGAATATTCACAGTAAAGCTGGCTCAAGAGTATCTTGAGTACAGTAGCTTACATAATTTTTATATTGGTTTAATCAAAAGAAAAACTTCAGTCAACATTTGGAAGAGCTCTGAAAATGCTCTGCTGATTATAAATCTGTTATGATTGCTTTTTTGGCAGCCAGATTAGGTTTACCGAGGCATTAACAGAAAGGCAAACGGAAAGGCAGGAGGCAGAAAAATGAACACTCTCATAGGCAACACTGCCAGACCAGGACATAAAGAAGGAAATGATGCAGTAAAAATGATGTGACGTGGAGACTGCTCAGGCCAAGGTGAGACAGCTGTTACACTGCGACTGCAACATACCACGCTGAGCACACATTCAGCGTAACCTTGGGCTCTTCCTTCCCATCTGTGGCAACCATCTCATGTTGCTGTTTGGTTTTAAGAGCTGCAGGACAGGGACAGCCTTTGGGATGTGTGTCTAGCAGGTCAGGTCAGTCAGCCCTACTGTAACACAAATCCAAGATAGCTCCTAGCAAGTGACAGATGCTGGGATCTTCTTTATAGCCATTGATCACGAAACAGAATGGGAAGCAGATTTTTTTTTTTTTTTTACTGCATCATTATTCTTCACAGGCCACTGAAGGTAAACTTCATCTACTGGCTTGCAGTTGTAAGGTTTAGTACAGAGATGTGTTTAAAACGTGAGAAACCATAAGAGCTAGACTTTCCGTTCTTAGAAACATTTTTTAATGACAAGGAATGCACTTGTACAACTGAAAATTTCTGTGTGTTAGAAACGTTGTGCTGAGTTTGCACTAACTCCAGAAGACCTAAGACAGGGTGGAGAGACTGTCTCCTGACCTTGGCCAGAAGCCCACCATGACCTTTCAAGATGCGGTGAACTACCATTCAGCAGACTCATTCCCACAGCTTTCCTCACTTGAACACCAGAAGAATAATTCTTCTCCAGGCTAAATAAAGTAGTAAGGGAGGAACCGGGCTGGCTGGAGGGTGGGAGAAGACTCAACATTTAGTAAAGATGGGATGGAGGCTCCTGTTGACAATTGGTTCAGTCCTCAAGCTTGAGTCTTAGCTTTTTTGCAGGCTGGCAGTGTTGTTTCTTCCTCCTCAACCTTGCGAGGCTTCTTCACCGTGTACACTACCCCACAGGCACTCTTCCGAGTTTCTGGAACATACAAGCAGAAGCTGTAGTACCTCAAACAAAATGACACTTATACATTTAATGCATACTCATTGCAGGTGCCCATGCCTCAAAGCACAGTTCAACATGTTTAACAGCCAGCCAGTCAGCACACACAGCAGGTAAGCAACCTGCCTGGGCAGGAGCTAGGGATACACTGCCTTATGGAGTAGGGAAACCAAAGGGGGAAATCCAATGGTGGGTGTAAAATTACAGCAAACATAAGGGAAATCTGAGTTCTGCAGGGGTTGAGGGGCTGCAGACACACAAAACCATAGGAAACCAGGCTTAATCAGTTCAATAGCCACAGAAGGACACATTCTTGAAGCATTGTCAAAAGCATTTCTGAGCAAAACATAGTGCTCTTAAAAAAAAAAAATATATATATATAAGAAATGTATTCACATATCCCAGGATTCTTAAACAGACTATGCTGGCACAGCTATATTGGCAGAGGCTCCCCTATACATACCAAGTAAGTGGCTTTATGGTATTCAAGAATATTTTATTTACAGAACCCTCAGCATTACCATAAAACACTACCGTGTGATGTTATCAAACTCCTCATATGTTTGCCAAACAACCCAGTGAGCCCAATCCAATTTCAAAACTACTGGTGGGAGGCTTCTCTGCAAAATTTGAGGTAGAAGAGATTCCCTACAAATACTCCGTTAGCAAAGAGGTTCTGCAAGAACCTTGCCAAAATATATCAACTTATTCTGGGCCAGAATTCTGGAAAATGGCACCTGCTATTTAATTTCACAGATAAGATAGATGATGGTCTTGAGAAATTCCACATGAACTTGACAAAAATTCTTCCAATACACTGATTTCATGTAGTTGAGTAGTAGGCTGGAGGAGGACCCTGTTCACAGAAATGCCCTCTCCAAGAGATGAAAGCTACCTGCTGTGAATTACAGCAGGCTCAAGCCCTACCTCTACTGAAACAAGAGATGCAAACCAAATCCTACTGTGCATTTGAAACTTAGAACAACTCAAGTTGTTGGGAAGGTGACTAGAAATCATACCTACCCAACAAACTTTGACAGAGGTGGAAATTAAGAGCTGGATGTGACTACTCAGTCACAAAGTTAAACTGCCATCAGAATAAACAACAAATTCAAGAAACACTAAGAACCAATAAATAAGCACGTGAAAGAGAGGGTAGAGATGGAGAAACTGGTACTACAGTGGAAAGCAAGGGTCTAAATTGATTGCTGGAACACGAACTGTGGCATCTCTTTGCTGCACTGATACCAGGACACAAAATACAACTGGAAGCCTTTTGTTTTCCAGTGCAGGGGACCACAAGCTAAATTTCCACTTTCTTAATATTAAAAATGGGCAAGTAGAAGAGAGCTACTGTGAGCTGCCTCTGCCGAGAGCAGTAGGAAACAAGTTTTGTTTCACCAATACACCTCAAGCCATTGTACACTATATGAAACATTTTTTTCTAAGCAGCAAGCACTCAGGGTATTTGACCTTGCATAAAGTTTGAAATGGTCCACACTGAAGAGTGAGTCAGAAATAGACCACCTAACGAAGAATCAGAAAGGGACACGGCAAAGGTTGCTCCTGCACTCATGCTGCAAGAGGGGAAATGCAAAACACATGCATCCTGATTTCCTTGAAGTCAGTGACGTAGATTCTGCTGGTGTCACTGAGATCAGCATCCAACCCTTTCTGAAACAAGGGATAGTTTCGCTATGAAGCACAACAGACAGATCTGTGTTTTGGCTAAACAGTTTATGACTCGTTAATGTCGTTAAGCGAGTACTCCAGTACAGACAGCACCATCAATTCAGCCACTGATTTGCTAACATGGCAACGAGGGAAAATAAAACACCCTTGCTGCACAAGCTCCTCTTCATGCATTGGACAAGGGAGCTAAAACCCCAAGCTGACTCACTCTATAAGGTCTCAGATTTTTTGGAAAATATGCATTAACAGGAACTTAGTTTAACAAATGCAAGTGTAACTTAGGTGAGTTTGCATGCGCTTTTCACTTACCTCCATGAAGCATGGTGGCTCTGCAGTTGGTAGACACAGCTGCCTTGGCTTCGCTTTCTGACAGGCCAAAGAGCAAACCTCTGTCACCTTTGTTCAGGATCAAAATGCACAGAAAGGAACAACCAGAATAGGGAAGTCTGTCTGCATGATAGGTTTGCTTACTCTACAAATAACTGGGAATTAGCAAATCTGTAACTCAAAGTGACATTTTGCATAAGGTTACCCAGAGGCAGGGAAATGAGGCACCAAATTCTCCTGGCTGCAGTTCCCCAGCAGCCCTCCTGGAAAGCTCCTGGCAACGTTGCTTTTTTCCAGACAAGCTGTACTTTTGAAAATAAAAGTCTGTCAACACAGGAATATTTTTATATGCATAATCAAGTAAAAAAAATGACCCCATTGAAAATTTCAGTTTTGGGGAAAGGGCATTGTCTGATACAAAAGCATTACACTGAAAAGTTCCCAGCCACCTTGAGCAGGGATGACACCAGATTAGGTATGTTAATTTGGGTTGAGCCTGACTGCTCCTTTCAAGAGGGAAGGAAATGTTGCATATAAAATCCTTCCAGGCCACACACCCTCCCACACAGTTCTCACGACTCAGAGCACGCTCCTCCCTTCGAGGGACAGTGCAGATATGTGCTTGGGGGCAGGGCGGAGGGAGTAGTAAAAATGTACCTGAATTCCTAAAAGAAGGGGAGAAAAAGATACTCTCCTTGGTTTCTAGAACACAATCACTTATTTAACAGCATATATGTAACTAAGGACTGGAAAATTCAGAGCAGAAGTAACCAGCACTCAGACAGGAACTTTATCTTTCTTAATATAAATATGATTGTATAATAATTTCTGGTTTGGCTCACAGTGTCCATAGATTTTTATGGTTTTTATTCATTTCTCCACTTACAACCACACAGTATCAATGCATATCACAACAAAACATACCTGTAGCTGAACACAGCCGTTACTATTTACAGTGACTGCTCATGCCACCCCATGACCAAGAGCTGTTGCTCCTTCCACACCCACTCAGAGAACTGATTCATTGAATTGGTCACCAACAAGCATCACTGTGCAAAAACTACTTTGAACTTTCACATGTTACTAGTAACTGCTGCCTTTGACTTAGAAAAAGGATACAGATTAGCCACATCGTAAGGACCTCGTAGTTCTAGAGGCTAAAAGAAAACAAAGAAGGTTGGATATGTGCACACACTCCCTCGCACGCTGACAGAGTGTGAGCAGGCAGGACAGGGCTATCAGGAAGACAAGATTAAATGCTACATAATAGCAAGCTGCTGAAGATGCACTAGAAAACCAAGCAAATACTATTACTTTGGAAAACAGAGTCCCCATCTGGGAGAAAACTGTCATGGAAAATACCACAGCAGCAAAAAAGCCCCACACCCAACCAAACAAAAAAAAACCCCAAACCCCACAATACAATTCTTTGGTAAAACAGATTGATTAGAAAAACCCCACAAGATGGCAATCATATTTAAAATTACAATTTTTATATGTTTAAGATATAATTAAAGCTGTATTTTCAGCCACAGATAAATCCTCAAAGTGTTCTGACTTCAACAAAAATCTGGGACTTACCCTTTCAGCTGCACTAGATATAACAATGTTCTGGAAAACAAAAGAGAACAAACGCTCGTCTGTCAGATGCATCAAGAAATGGAAAAAAAAAAAACAAAACAGCAAACAGCAAAGACTTTATGAGCATTAGCTAAGATCAGGCTCAGAGCCCAACTAACCATCAGAGTATCTGATGCCCTCAGATGAGGTGAACTCTAGCAGGGTGTGGATGTTAATCTGGGGACATGAATAAACCCAGGTTATCTCCTTGTCCCCTACAGAGAGATGAGCACAGGGAAAAGCCCTCCCTTGCAGTTACAAACCTCTCACAGACAGATGTGAGTTGAATAAGCACCGCACCTTTGAGAGGGATAGGCTAAGCAGTATAAACGTCAGCGATGGCATTAAGCAAGCATGTATCAGCCCATATCTCTCATAGTGGACTTTAAAGGGACTTTCAGGGTAAAGAAGAAATGCAGAGTTGCACCCACTCCGTTAAGAAGTGCACCCTTTAATTCCACTAGCTGAAAGAGGCCCCACAAAAATGACAACTCGGCCTGAGCTGTAACAGAAATGGACTTAGAGGAGGAGTCCAGGATCCCCCAGAAGCAGCTTACAGGTAGTGCCTTTAGACAGTCTGGTGCTCCCGAATTCTCAGCCTACTCTGTGTTGCGGTACAACTCAATCCTAACCTCAGCATTCACATTGGCCTTAATCAAACTCACACTGGTTGAGGAAACCTGTTTGCAGCTAGGCAGTGGCTGCCAATTCATGCCATACACTCACTTCCCTCAGCACTGGCACCCCCATGAAAATCACCAGGCAGAGACATCCTTCTCCCTTCTCTCCGAAAGGGTTCCTACAGAACAGGTATGTGACTGCTCGGGGGCTGGCAGATACCACAGCTCAGCTGCCAGCGCTCTTCTGATGTTAAACCTCCGAGGATGCTCACCCAGGGGAGACTGTTTTGCACAGGTGGAAACTGCAGCAGCAGCAAAAAATTCCTTGCACCCTTATTATACTGAATAAAAGGCTTTGGGAATTCCTGCTTGAGTGGGTGGGAATGAGAATTGTACTGAGGCAGCGAAAGACTTTCCCTCTCTGATGTCAGTACCACCAACACATCACACCACCTCCAGTTACAAGGTGGGGCTTTTGAACCCTTCCCTGCACTGCTTTGCTTGTCCTGCCACCTCCTCAGCACAAAGAGCAGGGCAGACACTGGAAGAAAACGCTCTGTGCGCAGCTGGAGCTCAACCCATAAAAGAGCTATTTGCATGGAAATGACTGCGTGTTCACACTGTGCCCAAGGTTTCCTCGTGTGCTGAGAAGGAAAGGATAGGACAGACAACTCTGCCTTAGCATAAGGAAAGCAAGAAGCGGAAGCAATACATACATCAAAGTGACTTAACAGCACACATGATGGAGCCTAGGACATTTCTTTCTGCATAGTTCACCTTTAAAATGACTGCACTATGGATCCCAAGGGTGCTTTTGAGCTTCAGTGGTGCTGACTGCAAGAGTTTGCTGGGAAAATTCAAGTCTCCTGCTCTCAGCTGTAGCAACTGACGCCTGTCTCCCAGGCTCAGAGAAGCTCCCAGAGCAGCTGCGTGAGCCATCTTGAACCAGCGTGGGATCGTGGTTCACTGCTGTGCATTGGAGATGCGCTCCGCCTGGTTCAAAGGCAAGTGGCTTCCAGTCAGGGGATGGGTAAGATGGGAGGAGACAAGAGCAGACAAGAAAAGCACTGCTAGCGAGTGAAGGAGAGGCAGGCAAAGGCAAATCCACGGGAAGGGCTAAAGGGAGGAACTCAAAGGCAAAACATTATCTCTCCAGGTAAAGGAGACAGCAGCTGTTCAGTACACTGCTCCAGGCACAATACACACACTCAGTTACCAAAACATGGGAGGTGAGGACTGTGGCTATGCACATCTTCTGTCTGGCAAGGCAGGCAAGTCCCTCCCTCATTCCCTGCACATTTTGACATGTTTTACAGACTCTGCTCAACGCCAGCTCTGAGGACACCAGTAAGTTTCTGGAAGTTTCTCTGCCCTACTACAACAGAGGAGGAACAAAAGGATCCAAAAGCTGCCACAAAGTTCAGCAACTATAGGTTACAGAAGGCAAGAGCTACGTGCCAGGTGCCAATGCAAGCAGCCTATGGACCAGCCATCCCATGTCTCATTAAAAAAAGGCCTTTACACAACTGATGGAGACAAACTGCCAGTGAGGGCTAATAACCATCTCTGCTGGCTCACCAGGTACTCAGCCTGAAGGCAAAATATAAAGACAAGCTAGCAGTCTTCTCCTAGCTATTCCAGTGCCTAACAACAACTTGTCATGCCCAGCTCCAGCTTATTTACCTTCCAGGCACAGACGATGCTAGACTGACAGATGCAGAAAGAAAGGGCACTGTGCGCAGACCGAGTGCCCGAATGTCTCACTTGCTCTGTTTATGACACCAACTCAACTAATGCTCTCTAAATCAACAACCGCATGAGAAGCACATCTTTAACTGCCCAGAGGAAAGAGGAGCACTGGCAAAAAGGAATCCCAAAGGAAAGGGGTTTTATGTGTAAGTACCTCATCTCCAAGTCAGTATTTTGTGCGATTAACTCCCAGAGCTGGGCTTCTCGGGAAAGGCCATGCAAATACTCACTTTCTTCTGTAGCACTAAGGGAATTCATCTGTTTGACCCACTCTGCTGTCCTATAAAATAGGCTGCCATGCCTGAAGGGAACTGAGGTATCAATGGATACGCTTTTAATTGGCCTTCCAAGCTGTATATCCCACTTCAGACTAGATCTGCAGGATAATGCCAATTTTGGCTTCTCTGGACTAGCTAAGTGTGGCAAAGGCCATTTCCAATAAAGGTGGTGGGAGCTACAATCTCTTTTAACTTGGATATGTATTATGATATGCTTCCCCGTTAAAAAAAAAAAAAAAAAAAAAAACACATGGCCTGAGAGGACCCGGCATGACAGGCAGCTTAGCCTGGGAGGAGGTAAGGTATGAAAGCAATGGATTACAGGCGTCTCAGCTGCGTGCGTTACTTCTTCCTTGGGTTTCAATAGCAGGGAAGAATGCAGTTGATATGACTGCAGCAAAGGCCTGGCTGATAGCCAGCTAGCTGTTGGGTCTGTTTTGTACACTGGGAGTTTACTAACCGTTTAAAAAAAACAAGATTTCTACTTTTTTCTTATTATTTTCTACCCTCCATATTCAAGGTATACTATCAAAAAAGAGCTTTTGGTCAATCAAAAATATGAAATGAGGGATTTTAAAGAGATACACGGATTTCAGTTCTAGTGTAAACCTTAGATCTCTGACACTTTTTTTTCCTTCTTCTTTTGTTTTGGGTATTGCATACAGTAATAACAGATAGGTTATTCTGAAAAAAAGAATCTAACAGTTTGACAGCTTAAGAAAAAAGCATGCAGTGGTGTGTGGCTGGAAGTATCTGGAGCTAGAATAACTGTCCCCTTGTATTAGTAGGCAAAGAAGTCACAGCTTGAGAAACCCCAGCATCAAACTCATTTAAAATGGCTCAGTCTGTACAACTCCAGAAGAATTTGAACTGAACTAATTAGCTACTTTCACTTTGAGAGCTTACCTTTCCTTTGCAGATCTGCATCAGGCTGATCGCATTTGAAATTGTGTATCTTCTCATTGTGGAGTCTTTGATGGCGGGCGTGTAAAGAAGTTCAAAGTAAATGCCTCGATCTATTGCCTTCACATGAAAGAGAGTGATCAAAAATCAAAAGGAGAGAAGCATAACAATCTAACAACTGCCGTCTATTATTGATGCAGCTTATTCTCAGTTTAACTGTGTTATATATGAAAAAAGTTAAGGTGGAATTGTTCCAGCAAGAGCACAGCATAGCACTGAGGGGAGGGGGGGGGGGAAACGTTTCACTGTACACCAGGTACGTGTACTTGAATGTTGGGATGACAGATAAATGAGGTTTAACAAAGAAATACCAGCCACTTATTAGTTGCAACTGGCTTTCCTCTGTCACAGAGTTGAGGAGACAGGTAACCGCTGCTGGCCAGAAACAAGTCTTGAAATTTTGAGGACTCTCCTCCTCTAGCCCCACAGCTTGCTGTAAGGAAGATCACCGCTTCCCACAGTACCCATGTCTTGCAGGTGAGGAATTTGTCCTTGCATAAAAGCAGCAATGAGGTCCCTTCTCTCCTGTCTCACAGCATACTCTGGTATTTGTGACAATGTTAAATAACAGTGAGTCACGGGAGAGGTTCCAAATAGTAATAATACATTTTCGGCTGCTTTAAAATCCCTTGCTATCTCTCCAAGTACCTTGCCAAAAGCCTAGTATTCTTGTTTTTGCAAACACACAGAAAAAAGTTAAGCAACTTGCTATAGGACACAGTGAGTGCGCGATAAAGACACAATTCAAAGCTAAGAGTTCCTAGTTCCCTGGACTATACTGCATTTGCCTGAAACATTACTCTATGTTTTATACTCATATTATTTAAAAAATGCTGCAATGTTAATACTGGAAGAGGGTCCAGTAACTGAATACAGATGGAATTAATCCAGCTCCCATCCATGCATGACCTCTGAATGCAAGCATTACAGAAGCTATGTACACATCAAATGTTTTACAGAGCTGGTCCGACATCTGCAAACAAGAAGAGAATCCTGAATTTATCAAAACCAAAACAGGTGACAGCAATACATTAATTTCCAGCCAAGCAGATTTTTAACTTCATCCCCACTGCTTCAGCTGCCTGCCAATCTGTCTGTCTGGCATCACAACAACCAAAACTGACTGCCCAAGGATGCACAAAACCAGTCTGACAGACTGCCTTGAAGGTGGGAGTGTGGAAGCTGAGAAGTAGCTTGTAAGGCAAATATCTCCAAACACAGGACTCCAAGAGCCACCCAGCTCCTCACCTCGCTCAGCTGCTGGAGTTTTAGGCAGCTAGGGTACTTTCAAACAACATTTCATACAAAATTGTTATTCCAAGTGGAATGTTGAAGTTCCCACTCTACAGGAAATTCCAAAGTATTACTTTCATTCTGTTTCAGGATTAATTCTAGTTATTTTTTAGTTTTTATTCTACATCAAACTTCCTGTAGGAGAGGAATTGGGATTTCTAGCCAATTCCAAATGTAAATTTTTAAGCACTATGGACTACATCAGCCAAGAATGCCCATGTGGAATGAACCTTGACATATACTCGGAGGAAAAAACTAGTTCACTTAAGAGCATGTTCAGATTAAGCTTTCTGGCAAACCACCAACAGTAGGCAGAATCGTATTAACAAAATATTTGATCCATGCTGATAGTCATCTTGTGTCCCACAGCAGATATTTAGCAATTCCACATTTGGTTCATTTGCCAAGACATTCCTTTGTCTAAGTATGGATTCAATACAGTTGTCCTCCAAATAACTGGCACGACATCCTTCTCCCAAATTAACACTGTCATTCATATTCTCTTGTCTTTTAAATCACAGGGCTGTTTATCTATTCTGACACAGCTGTACCACTTCTGGTTTGGTAAGCAGCTTAGTCAGCAATCACACCACATCTCACTGCTTAGCATAGTAGTGGGCTTAAGGCTGTGTTTCCATTCCTTGGGAACACCACTTCAGCCTTCTTAAGTGGGGGACAGGAAGGAGAAAAAGAAAGAACATACATTACTGTGTACTAAATGCTGCAGTGGAGGCCTTGAAGTGAAGGACATCTGAAACAACACTAGACATTATGCAAGAAAATAAAAGAACCACTTGGATGGGAATGGTGGGAGGGAAATGGTAGGGAATTCAACTCAGTCTGACATTAAATACAGAATTTAACAGCAAGAAAACAATTTAGATGTAAATTTACCATATTCACAGGGGGCCTTCGGAAGTAGAATGGCAGCTTTTCTGTTACATTTATGCATACCAGATCCACATCTAGAGTTGTACAAGCGATCTACAGCAAAGAAATAGGAACAGAGTATTAGATATGCCAAAAAATGCATAACCAACTTTAGATGCACTGGTATTCTCCTTCATTTCTTAATGCAACAAACGTCTCTCCAGGGTGAGCTCAGTTTTAAAACGAAGAGGTACTATGCCTTGCAGGTATGCCAATAAAACAGCAGGGCTATAGGGGCACAGCTTGAGCATTTCGGGCTTAAAACCCAAGCCTTCTCTCACTTACAGAACTACTTTTCCAATAAAATAATGACCAACCCAAAGGCAAGACTTACTGCTTTGTTTTTATCTGACACAGGACATGCAGAAGCAATGCTGGCTTTTAGCAAAAGAACCCACAGCTAATGAAGGACAACCCCTGTTTACAAAGGGAACAGCCCAGGAACTGCCCCTTAACCCATCACTCTAACTCCAGTGTAGCAATTCTTTGTTTTCAGGATTAATTATTTTTACCAGAAGCAACTGAGAAAAGACTGAAAGAAAAGCAGAATTTTAGACTGTGACTGGTGATGCCTCGTGCCCAGTACTGGAGGCCGATCCGCAGGGCCTTGCTTTCCTGGCTGGGTGGGGAATGTGCAGCCCTTCCTGAAAGCCACCTCTCTGGAGCAGTCTGAAGATGGCACTGAAGGTTATAGTTTAAAAGCTTAGCTTTGAACTCACACCACGATTTACAGCCTGTATTAAAAGACGGAAGGAATGAACAAAGGGCGGAGAATCTCCACACTGACATACAGAGAAAATCAAGTGCACATAAAAGGGAGCCTTTGATTTACATATAATCTCATGCACACCAGACATGTAGGAATTATATATGCCTAGCCCGTAAAGATGATTACACAGGGCCAGATTAATGTCTGGAAGCAGCATTGTAACAAAGAAGATAAAATGGGCTGAAGATATTGACAAGGAATTTTCTATGCATAGGGGAACTCTGCTTTCAGAAACCTGCCAGCAACTGCTCCAAATACACCTGGGCCAGGCGCCAGCCGTTCATCCCTCTGGCGGGGGTTGCGGGGAGTCCCAGGGCTGGGCCGCGCTGTAGCCGCACTCTGTGGGGTAGCCGCATTCTGCTCTAACGCGGGGCAGGCTGTCGCTCTGCAAACTAGTCTTCTGCCAGTTTGTTCACAGGAAATTTGGGTGGAGACGAGAGCAGAGGCCCAGCTTTAGGAATGTTCTTAGCTGTCGGTAGCACTCCTTCCTAGACAAGAGAGCCACAGCGCACGTGCAGGCAATTCAAAGATCCAGCAAGCCACCAGGTTTTTGATGTTAAAATGTCTCTACCAGGCCATCCAGATTAAACTTTATCTTCATGCCCTACCTGTACAAACTCTGTTAGCAGGACACGGTTGGAATCTACTGCATCAAATTAGACTTGCATGTGTATGTTTAGCTCTACTACAGCCAGTTTTAATCTTTTTTCTTATGTGGAGTAAAAACTACCACTTAGACAGATGTGATTTATAGGAACATGCACACAGCAAATAGCTCTGAATCATGTCCTAGAAAAGATGTCACTGAGGCCATAGGAAATTCTGGAAGAGAGCAAGCTGAAAATGAAGGAAAGTAAGAATACACATCAGAAACACACAAGTTGCCCGTGTGATGAGAAAACAAGCCTTCCTAATCAGCTCCAGAAACACTGGAAAACTCTTCTCCATTTTGCAAATTAAGCACAGTGGGAAAGGGAATGACCCAAATGCCAGGATATCTACAGCATTCCAGTGACAAGAACATTTCAGAAAACACCACCAAGGAAAAACAAATTTAAGAGCCATCCTTCCCCATAAGGAAGAATTCCTGCACTGCACTTAAAGTTGGAGAGGAGATTACTCCAAACACTTCAATGTTCAGCCCAGTTTTGGCTCCTGGACAAGTCACACACGCAGGCAAGTTAAGGTTACCCTGCCTGCTGAAAGGATCTAAAGTGCAAAAACTTCATACAGAAAGTGATATGCAGCAGTCGCAGAGCCGGATGCTTGCCTGGCCGCACTGCAGGCAAGAGCCCCATCTGCTGGGAAACTCCAGACAGCCATAAATAAATAAATTTGCCACTGCTTGGATGGCGTGAAGAAAGCTTTGGCAAACATTTTAGGAGTAAACATTGAAATTTGGCTTTGCACTACATCCTCAGACTTATATAAGCAAGTTTTTTCAGATACTGGTGATCTGCTAATTGCATACAAACAGCAGGCAGAACTAACTAATATGATTAAACCAGAATGCTTAAGAAGAAAAATTTTTGAAAAGCAACAGGCACAGACCTTATTACTGGCATGGAGTGGGCATTATGGGAGACTTAAAGGAGCATGCTCTACAATTATCTTGGCAAACACAGCTTCCTCATACCCCTGAGGATATAAATTATTTGGAGAATTTGAGCACATCTTTCAGTACATACCACTGCCACACTCAGTCACAGAAAAGCTTCCCTAGCTGATGACAAGAGGGCACAGACTGGTTTTGGGCCATGCTACAATTACAGGACCGCCAATGGTCATGTATTTCTTTTACAAAACCACGAAAAATCCTGTGGATTTCCTATGGAAAATAGTGCAAGTGCCAAATTGTTGGTGAGAAAGATGACGCTCTCAAAGTAATGTTGAGTTACCAACAGCCAATTTTAAAATATAAAGTTAATTTGTGGTGCAAGACCCACCCTAGAAGGCTTTATCCTTAACAGTGAAATATCCATAAGTCATAAGAGCCAGAGGTATATGCTGAAACTCCATGCGCAATGTCACTTGCGCCACGCTCCTGTTGATACCTCTACAAAATTGACACAGCTCTCCACAGGGAATTAGAAAACCTAAAATCTTTAAACAAAAGACAAACATACTTGTTCACATTCAGGGTAGATTTGTAAGGATGAAGTCTTTCACCTCATGCAGTTTGCAAGAAACATGCTTGGGTTGCCTCCCCACCTCAAAGTGCCGCCAGCATGGAAGCAGTGAAGATGGTCTCATCGACAGTCCTGCTTCCTTCCTAACACACTGTCCATCACCTGCAAGAGTGTCAGCTTAAACAGTCGCTAACTGCACTGGCCTGCCCAGAGCACAGCCATCCTCTCTGTGCCGGCATAACTATCCACGTGGGTGAATGCTGAATCAGGAGTGAGAAAGCGGATCTGCCCGCAAAATAACTTGGTGAAAACTCTGGTTACTTTTCAGCCAAAAGTGTGTTCCTCAAACCAAACTGCCATGCAGCTAAGCAAGCAGCTTCAGCAGCAGAGCAGACAGGGACTTGCAGGAGTGAGCGGCTGTTCAGAGCAGCTTAAATACTGCTGCGGCTGGATGTCCAACCACAGCAGAACTCATGATACGGTTGAAAATAAAAAATAACCACCCGTGTTGTTCTGAACACAGCATGCCCCTTATGATCACCTGGCTTCAGGTGCTTGTTTAAACCCATGATAAATTGATTGAGCTCACTTGAGAAGTGAGATTTTAAGTTGTTGCCAGAGATCAAAAGAAAGAGGTGGAGAGTGGCCCTCAAAAGCATTTTACAACTATTTACCTCTCTCACACTCCCAAGAGTCCTAAAATCTTGCAAGGGAAATAAAAGCAGTCAGAAATGAGTTTCATTAGGCTGTAACTGTTATAATTAATGCTTGAATTCTTCTGCTGAAAGATTCTTTAAAGTTCACCTTCCTTCTACAGCCTCTTGCTTTGTACTTTACTTGGACAAGTTTTCGAAAAGGAGGGGAAATACTTTAGAAAAACAAAACAGAAGAATATAATTTTAATGTGTCAAAACAGGTACTCACGAGTACTAGAAAGTAGCTTTAACTTATTTAAAAAAAAAAAACAAAACAAACAAAAAAAACAGACTCAGTTTTATACTGACAAGCTCTCTTTGAAAGTAAATTCTGGCACTCCTCCAAAGAGATTCACATTTGCTTTTGGAGTCCCTGTGCCTTCTTCATGCTGCTTTAAACTGCACGCCTGCTTGCTGCCTGCCAAGGCTAACAGAGACGGGATGCTTCCACCTACTCTTCCAGTTCAGAGTTAATGTTATTATTTATGAGCTTGCAACAGGTCAGACGTCACAATTTTGGGTTTTGTAAGAAAAAAAACATTCTGACAAAAAGATGACTTGCTTCCAGATGCTCCACTTGATCAGACCACTCACATCAGCTGTTACCAAGTATTTGATAACAATTTAATTAAAAACAATGAGAGAGGCGGAGATAACAAACACCTATCACCCAACAAGCCAAGCTCAGATCATTCTGCCTCGGACAGTGTTTTAAAACTAGGAATTTTTCTGGCAGTAAAGGTCTATTCAAGATATAGCAGCTATGGATAAAAGCTGGAAGACAATATCATGCTTGGTGTTAGGAACGGCTGAAGAATTACTGCACATCACTGTGTTTAGGTATCACTTCTAAATAGTAAATGTCTTCTTCAGTCAAACACCGGAAATGGACTGAGCCAGCTCATGGGTCAAACACACTCGCAACACCTCGTGTTTCTAAAATCATAGAAGTGAGAGTATTGGGGTTTTTGTTCAAAATACTTGCATTATTAATACTATTAACATAAACCAACACGAGAAACAACAGTACTGGGCTAAGGTCACAAATTAGTCCTAACTAAGGTTTTGAAAATGATTCACACCCACTATTTTCTCTCGCTAGCACACTTGCAGCAATATCACTGCTGCAAATGCCAGCAACTGTTCAGTAACATTGATAGAGCAACACTTCCAAAGACTCACAAGTTTTGTGGAGGCAGTTTTCAGTTGCAAGTTTGCTCTGAACAGCCAGGATAAAATCTGAGTGAGAAAATGACCGTCTGCCCTTCAGGTATTTACCCCCAAGGTTGCTCTACTTTTGTACAGCCTCAGTGGTCTTCTCGGTGGGCAAAGTAGCAAACATATCATGAAGTCATAGAAGTGAAGCTTCTCTCACTCAACTTGAGCATCCAAAACACTCAAAACCAAACCAGAACTCTCAGTCTGGCAATGGAGCAAGGGTCATTGTGTTTAATCAGGCATGTTTACTTTTGGAAATTTTATCTGTTCATAAGATGCTATGACAACCAGAACTAGCTCTGTCTCATAAGCTCTTGCTCCTCTTTTGATTTAAAATAAAGAATTAAAAGGAAAAATTAAAGAAAAAGAGATCAGCTATTCATTTGGACAAACTTCCAAGAGAAGATCTGAGACTAAAAGGAAGAAGGTAACTCTCAGAACCATGTTAGTTCTGCTTTAAAATCCTCCCACTTTTCCTGGCATTTCAGAGACTAGGAACAATTAGTGGTAACAGAAGATAGCAAATGTGTTTTGGGGAAGCTGTCAGAGGTTGAGAAGTTAAAGTTCAAGACAGAAGTTTTCTACATGCTGATAGTATATATATATATATATAAGAAAAAAACAAGGATGTTTTCACTCCTCACTAGAGAGGAGTACTCAGTAGAGTACAAGATACACAAAAGAAAACACAGCACAGGAGCATACAAGTCGGTTCATCAGGTAGATGTTTCAGACTTTAACCAGTCACCTCAAAGCCTTGCAGCTTCCTGCAATCCCTCCCAACCTTCTATCAACTGACCAGGCAGCCTATGTTGCTTAATTAGCCCCATGACATGCAGGCCGGTATAAAATGGGAAATAAATCAAAACAAAGCATGTACTCAAAGTAGCCTAAGGCACTAAAAGTTATGGAATGAGCATTACCAATCAGATGATTCTACTTACATGGAACAATTTCTCAGTCTTCGGAAATACTGCTATGATGTCATATAACCTTATATTTGCAGATGTTGATCTCTACAGAAGGAGAAAACAATTGTTACCTTGAATTCTGGCAGATGCCAAAGCTATGCACAATGATTACGACCAAAATAATGAGAAGAAAATTCCTTTTTCACTTTCAAGTACTAAAACAAAGCCAATAATCATCCAATTACATAGTAGGTCTCTGCTGTGAGCCATACTGTGAAGTCATTCATTCTCGTTTTGAGGCTTGTCCGACCCACCCAGTAAGGCACTTGCACCTTCTGCTTCAATCACACAGCACTAAAACATAAACAGACACCAGGCTTGCTCATGGTCTTCTAGATTACGCACAGAAGTCAAGAAATCAAAGAAAACAAACAAGGAACAGAACTGTTATCTCATACTGACAAATGATCAACAGAAGCCATATCCAGTCTTGTAAGTCTGTATCTCTTTGTGATCACATTACTTGCTAAAGATGCTATGTGAGAAATCACCGCTGAGTGTTCTATAAAATCCACAAAATTCTCCCCATACAATTTCCAAAGTTTCATTCATTGATTGAGAAAAGGAAATAAAAACTGGAAAATTAATATACTGAATATACTTACCAAGAGATTACAGTGGGAAGGATCAGAAACAATAAGTGTTAACCGGGTTAAGACTTTAATTCTTTTAGATGTCCCCTACAAAAAAGAAAATTAATAGAAAAGCCTTAAAAAGCTCCAAAGCGAAAATCTGGGGCGACTTTCACCCTGTCCGCTATAAAAAGAAAATGGTGCCGTGCTCATATTCTTGCCTATACTAATTTTCTAAAGTCTGTAGTTACACTTCCCTATTTTATATTGATCTGTTTGATATTATACCTGCCCGTTACAAAGAACGACTGTGTTTCCCTGAGGAAGGGTCAATAGAAAGAAGAAAGAAAGAAAGAAAGAAAGGAAAAAAAAGTAAAATAATGCAGAAAAACTGAGTATGTTTTAATACTGCTACGGTTCCCCAGGCAGGCCACAACTGTGAGCAAAAGCAGTTCCTGAATTAACATGTCGGTGATTTGAAATACAGGCTTGGTTCATTATAACCAAATCTTGCTCCATCAAAACCAGGAAGTTATTTCCAAAACTCAAATTTCAAGAATTATACTGTAATTATTCAACTGCAAGAAGATTCAAAATTCATACAAAGCAATTTATTTAATAATTTCTAAAACAACGAATAGAGCCTACACTAACGTGAGTGTATTGTTCTTCCAATGCTGGGAGTTTTAACAATCAAGCAATGGACAAACTTCTCTTTTTTGGTTAACATGTAAAACACAAAATCACATATACAAACATACCGGGGTAAAAAAACGTAACTCAGAATAATAATACATAGATAGAATGTAACTAGACATACTTGTACAATAGGCAAAGATGGAAACAACTCTGAAGGAGATACTGGCTTGACGATTTCCTTAAATGAGAACAAACCAAAGTTATTCAAAATGTCATGCGTTAAGTTTACAATGTAAACAAAAGCTGTGTTCCAATCCTAAAAAGAAATTTGCCATGCCAACAAAACTATTTCCCAGGGACAATACACGGACCATATTAAAAGTTAACACCAGGGCAATTATATTGAATTATAAAATGGGAGTTTGGTCACAAATGCAGACATTGGTACTTGTGTCTAGATGTGCATTCTGCAGATAAAGATACTTGGGAACACGTAATAAGGCATGTAGCTTTACAAGAGAAAACACACTAAGAACAAATAACCCCCCAAAAAATTACCTGTTTCTTTTCTTTAAAATCGATGACATGATTAAGAGCAACTGCAGAATATCCCACTGAAAAAGTAAACACATAATAAGGCTATTTTGTCCAGTAAATTAATGGAAACAAATCCAAACAGAAACCTGTTAAACACTCATCACTTAAATGTTTCAAAATTAATAATCGCATGCATATTTACCTTTCACATTATTTTTTTTCTGAAGATTAATTCACCCCAAAAGTGCCTTAAAATAAAAATCTGTTTTTCTTTTAATACACCCCAGCCCTGACAACATTTACTCGATGGCAGAGCTTTATGAACATGAATCCTTGGGGTTAGGGTCCCCAAAGATTTTGCCTTGGTTTGGTCCTGTTGATGACTCCCTTTAGGGAAAATGGTTAGGGACATTCAGGACAGTCGTTAAAACTGCAGACAACACAGAGCTGGGAGAGATACAGCTACAGGAGAAGGCAAGGCGAGCATTCAAAATGATGCTGACAAAACTGACGAAAAGCTCTCGTTCAGCAGGGGACAAGAGGAAGGTGGTACACTCGCCAGAGACAAACCACCCCCGAGCACTGGACAGGCAGCGCCTGGCTGCCCAACAGCTCTGCAGAGAAAAGATTCAGGCCATAAGATACTGCAGGTGGAAAAACGTGTCCGCGCTGGGAAAAAACAACTGTTACGCTGGGATAACCAGGCGGGGACAGAGCCTGCAGGGCACAACACAAGCTGCCCTTGCTACTGCCACTGCGAGGACCTCAGTCCTGGTCACTGCCCGTGCAGAAAACCCCAAGTCGAACGGGGGGAGCGGAGGGGAGCGAGGGGGGACGCGACCCGCAGGGAAGCAGACGGCGAGGTTCAGCCTGCGAGGAGGGAAAGCCCAGCCCGGAGACCGACGCCGTGCTCGCACCAGCCCGGCGGAGCTGCCGCCCGCGTCCCGCCGCCCTCCTGGCCGGGC